TATACCCATGCATACACGGTGATTTGAATAAATTCTGACCACTAACAAATACAGCCATTCTATCCCACCTACGCTAACACTCATATATATAAAAAAGCTTTAGAAATTATGGGATGCCATTGTTGATATTTTCTTAATTACTAAAAAGAGTTACAGCTTTTTGCAAACATTATGAGAATTGTCTAAATATCTATAATTGAATTATAATTGAATCTAGAATTGTCATAATATCTATATCCATATATTGTCCGGAACAAGCGGGTTTGCTAGAATAATTCATTGTTGACATCGAGAAAATGTTCAGAACTACGGATAAGTCTGTCGCCAAAAAAAAAAACTAAACTACAAAGACAAGGGACTAAGGGCATCGCGCGGGATTACCCACTCGATATTATGATATTTAGATATTTCAACAATTCTCATAATTTTTGCAAAAGGCTGTATAGTGCGCCAAATATTTAAATAATGATCATTTCCTAAAGGTAATTAATCGTTTTCACCCATTCCCATGGGATTCAAAAAATAAAGACCGGYGGCCATGTTCGAGGAATGAACAATAGATACTTATGCGAAATCCTTTATTGAAGTTCCTCCAAAAGATGGCCGTTGTACGTGASGTCACCTGAAAACAAAGAATATATTGCGCGCTAGATTCAATTGCTGGTGTTCTCGATGATCAATGATTTTAGTATAATGTTATTTATCTTATTGTAAAGCGCATATGAACTTATGGATATTTTGCGCTATATAAATACTACATCATTATTATTATTATTATTGTCATTATTATTATTATTATCATCATCAAAAATTGTGCGCAGAAGAGAGTGCGCAATAATTCGGAATGCCCTTAAATATTTCAGTTATCASAAAAACTGCAGCTAAATGTGTTTAAATATCCCTAAAAAACTATAATTTAGAGTTCAACTGACTTCTAACTATGTTTTACGACAAAATCATCTGAAATTATCCAAAAAGCACACAATATCTGCAATATTCTTCGTGTTCACGATACGTCACTGCGGCCATCTTGGAGGAACTTCAACAAAGGATTTCTCATTAGTATCTATTGTTTGTTCCTCCAACATGGCCACCGGTCTTTTCATGGGAATGGTTGAGAACGATCAATAACGATAAGTGAGTGTTCAGGATATTTGTGAATGATTGTACTTCAAGTCCATAATGCATTATGTTCCAGCACTGTATCCAGCCTGTAGCCTTGTATGGATGTAGTCACCTGCCTTTACTGTAGGGTACTTATTTTGACCATCCAGGCATTGTATTATTGCRTCACGATCAGGATTGAAGAAGAACACAGCTGAACAACGTGCTCTTTCTTTAAGACTTTCAGTGACAGAAACGCGGTGATACTAAAAAGAAATTTAATGGTTGGATATTATAATCTACAGTTGTTAGAGCAAAGTCATTTTAAAAACACGCAAAACATCAAATTAAGTTGACAGATAGCGTGATACCAAAATTAATAGGCATACAAGTGAGCAATGCAATTTGAGAATACCAAGCTGCATTAGGGTAAATTTGATTTCACTGGATTTTGAGTTTGTTTAATCAGTTCAAACCACTACAAACACTTTTATGGAACATGGCATTATAGTCATTTTCTGTGCATAGCATAGCGCATTGTGTAGGAAAACACGAGGGAGGTTTTATTGACAAGTGGTGTGAGAAATGTCGTGTGCACAGAAAAATTGTCAACATT